ACCAAAAAAAAAAAAAAAAAAAAAAAACAAAAAAAAAAAAACCAAAAAAAAAAAAAGGTTTTAGAAATAGAAGCAGGGATTTCATTGCTTTTGTAACAGTCTCAGGATATTCTGCCTTGATTTTAATCAATAACACAGAGATTTGAGGTTGTCTCAGACATACTTTGTTTTTGAGACAGGCTCTTGCTGTGTAGTTCAGGCTGGCCTTGAACTCACTATGTAGCCCAGGCTGGCCTCAGATTTGCAGTGATCCTCCTGCCTCAGCCTCCTGAGTGCTGGGATTACAAGTACATGCTACCACATCCAGCTTCAAACATACCTTTAAGGCCACCACCATGTGTGATCTCAAGCAGTTGATCTTTTTCTAGCACAGGTAAAGTTGATTCACCGGACTTATTCACAAATGGGCTGTGGATCCATTCCTTCCCAGTTTAGGGTTATTTTGTGGTTGGGGAGTAATGCTCAAGTTCTGTTCAAAGCTGAGATAGGTGATCATGCACCAACTGGGGGAAAGAGGACCCTGACTCAGTCTCTTTCAAAATCTCTGCTAATATTTGAAGCATGTAAAAAAAATCCCAGTGTTCACTCATCACTCACACAGTTCCAGTTTGGTTTTGAATATAGCCATTTTATTTGCTTATTTGTACATAGTTGTCATTCTCCCTGAAATAACATATTGAATTCATCGAGCAGGTAGCATATGTCATCCAAGTAAGCAAGTTTTGTGACTCATTCTGTATCACTGAGATGTGTTGCTAGTGGTCACTATGTTTCTATCTACTTTCCTACAAATGACTCATGTTTATCTTTCTTTATGGCAGAGTAGTACTCCACTGTGAAAGAAAACATCACATTTTCTTTATCCATTCATCTGTTGATGGACATATGGGCTGCTTTCAAGATTTAGCTATTAGAGGGCCAGGGATTCAGCTCAGTGGTTCTGCTGCTTGCCTCGCAAGCACAAGGTCCTGAGTTTGATCCCTAGTACCAAGAAAAAAAAAAAAAAGATTTAGCTAATATAAAAAAAGGTTTAGCTACTATAAATTGTGTGGCTATAAATATGGATACGCACATATCGCTGTAATATGATGTCTTTAACTCTTTTGGGAGGGTACCTAGAAAGAGAATAGCCGAGTTGAATGGAATCTTTAGAAAGCTATTTTGATTTTGTGATAAAGAAGACATGTTCTGCACCCATCTCTTCACAGGGTTGTATGAACAGATTCGAGTTAAGGGCATGGACTTTAATGTGGTCAGTAATTTTAATGTCATCCTGCTTAACACCATTAAGTTCAGGTGACATTTTTGGGCTATCCGGTATTTCTATATGGATGACACAGTGCAGACTCACAGTGAGAAGCAACCTCTCTGATCCAAGTAGAAAAACCAGAACACTATCCAGCCATGGCAGCTGCTCCATCTGTGTATATACAGACACAAATGACCAGGTCAGTTTTCCTGATGTGTAATCATTGAAAGATTTGAAGAGTTTTGCAGCTGTGGTGCTGGTTGGCAACAAAAGTGCACATAATGTGTCTTCATGCACATCCTCCTGAAAAATATATTTCACAAAAACAAGCGTCATTGCCTTGTCGTGAACATTAGTAGAACTGTCAGTCTGGATTGTGTATCACGGCACTGCATTTCTTCTTAACGATTATGCCTAAATATCCTCTACTGTTTCATCAAACCTTCTCATTATGGTGCTACTGGAAAGAGGCACACATGCCACTCCTTGAACCACGGCCTTCCCTAAAATTTTACAACAAATGTCCTTAGCAGCAGACAGGATCAACTCTTCACCAGTAGTGAAGGGCTCCTTAGCTTTAGCAATGTGGTCAGCCACTAAGAACGATGCTCTCTGCAGACACATTTGATGGCCATCAGTAACTATTTCTGTTCTTTGTGTTTACATGTTTTTTCTTTGAAAAACTCCAAAGGCTTGTCTTTTAATGCAGGGTGTTTGGTCTTCACATGGCAAAGCAGTTTTGAAGGGTTCATGGCTTCTGTGAATAGCTGATCACCACATATTATATAAATCAGGCTTGGGTAATGTGAATTACCTATTGCAGTGACCCATGATTCAAGTAGGACTCTTGGTATGTTCTTTTAAATGCTTGATATTTTCTTTTTGTTGGCATCTTAGAGTCTTCTGCTGTTTCATCCTTGCCCCCCCCCCGCTTTGGTACTGGGGATTGAACTTGGGTCCTTGTGCTTTCAAGGCAGAGGATGGAACCACTGAGCTAAATCCCTGGCCCTCCCCCTTTTAAAAGAAGCTCTCCAGTGATGTTTGGCCAGGGTTAGCTTGTGGGCTTACCAAAGCTATGACTGAGACAAGTGTGCAGTGTGGGAAAGAGACATGGATGGCAGTGGTAAATAAAATAATGGGTAGGCCACCTATGGACTAAAATAAGTTTTGGATTCTGACTTAAAGCCTGCCACCAGATGCAGCTGCACAATGAAAGTACATCAACTCCCTTGTCACTATAAATGCACCAGATGCAGGTTGATTGTCACTTGCAGCTTCACTGGTAGGTTTTTTTTTTTTTTTTTTTTTAT